TCAAGTTGTGCTCGTTTCGGAATGACCAAAACGTGCAACCTTTCGGTATTTTTGCACCAAATTGCTATGGAACAAACATTTGCACTGAATCTAAACATGGCCTTAGATAAACGAATTAACAGGGGCGAATTATTCTTTACAAAGATCATTTCTTAGTTTGAGAAAGATGGCATTTATGTCATTAGTCAAAAGAATCATTGAAGTACAAATACACTAGAGAAACAAACTGCCAATCTTCATTCCGTTTAACTAATTAACAGCATGGAAGTTTATTTTTTAGCCCTTAAGTGGACATGAAGATTTCAAGTACAAGAGACATGAGGACGACATATCTTTGAGGCAGTTTCACATGCGTTCTTTTTAAAATTATTGTCAATGTTTCTAAGACAAAGAAAATTTAATTTGACTGTTCTGGCTGAAACTAAATTAATCAGGTGAGCTTTCGGCACGAAATCCAACATAGAACGAATTTCAGTTGTTGATGAGATACAGTTCAACTTCATACAATTAGTAGTCAGTGGGTATCTTCCGTCAGTCTGCAGTATTTTCGTTGACAGGAGTCATAAACTTCATTGGACATTCATCCAATATTATTCAACTAATCAGTAACAAACAACGAGTAAAAAATGCAAAGGGAGCGTTTCTTTCAGTTACGAAAAAACTACCGAAAATGATCTGGTCGTAGTGGCAGCAACATGATTGTAAGCCTACCGTCAGCCTCCATAGGAAAAACGATTGAGAGATTATTGAGCCTTCATATATCGGAACGGAATTTAACGAATTGCTTCAACTGGAAACAAAAATTCTACTGACACCGCGCCACATCGTCAGAGTTTCAAGTGCACTGCAAAGCAGCTCATCCTACGTTATAAGTCAGCTCGAAAAGAAGCGCTTCAGTTATATACACGCTATTCTTTGCAGCGAGACAAAAAATAAACCAGTTAAACAATATGTTTAAAAAATTAGTCCAATCCAATACAACAACCCAAAACACGAATGAAAATGACTTGTTACAATTTTTGAAGAACGCCGCTGCAATTTAATGTCGCAATGGGTTGTCGACAGCTTTCTCGCTTTGTCGAAAACAAATCAAATTCATTTTATGAGTTGAATTTGAAAGTTCGCTGACGACGACTGACTAGTCACCAAATTATACCATGTACACGAAAGTTTTGTTTCTGATCGTTTAATATAATTTGAATTTGAATATTTTTGGAATCAGCTTGACACCTAACCTGTTCTTGAAAGCGTGACTGTTTAGAGATTATATTAGAGACTTCTCAAAGTCATTTTATGTTTTTACTCCCACAATGACATCGCAGACCCTTGTTTATATTTTTATCCGTTCATTTGTCTTCTTATCTTTTCTTATTATTCCCAACAGACATTTTACTATGCCATGTTACGTAGTCTGCTGTTTATGAATGGCTTGTAAGCGTAAACTCGACGTTTCGCATCCATAGTTTAGCACTGGAAGTATATATTTAAAAAGCTCTTTTCGTTTCGAGCACATAGACAGTTTTCCGGGTAAGAAAAGTTTCGACCATCCAGTAGTGCTTCATAATATTTTCATATTTCCGTTGAATTTGCACAATCGGCTCTCCGTTGCAAAGATGAGTTGTCCCAGAGAGACGTAGTTTTGCATTTCTTTGGGCCTAATATCCATCGAATTTAACAAGTCGCACGATCATGGATTTGTTTGACCTGCGTCTTCTTCAAGTTCGTTTTCAACCCTTCTTTAATGCTGACGTTGCTAAGCTTTAGGAATCATTTTCCGAGTTCTCCTTTGAGGAGAGAGGTCATTCGCCAGCCAAAGGTAGTATAGGTAGTGTCTAGTTATGTTCAACCCTTAATTTTTCTAATGGAGTGTTTTGAATGCTTTCTCTGAGACTGTTGTGAATAATTTCGGTGATATTGCGTCTCCCTTTTGGACAACTCTTTCCGATTTTGAACTTTCTTGTGCTTCCTTGAAGTTTCACACTGCCTTACAAGAAGCGATCACATTCTTCTAAAGTACGACGATCAAGTTTATGTAACTTTACTCAAATCCCTGGCTCCTCAAGGAATTCAGTCCAGAGGTGGTGTACACTGAGTCATCTGCAGATGACTGACCATTGTAAACTCACTTCAGAACTCTGTTTGCTCCTTTGACTGTGACTGCGCAGCGTTCAGTTTTCCTTGAACTCTGTTCATCGGTATCCTCGTGAAGATTTTGTAAATAATTGGTGATAAAACGATCGCCCTGTAGTTCTTCAAGTGCTGTCTGTTTCCCTTCGTGTGGAGTAAATCACCGATGCCACAGTCAGTTCGTCTGAAATTTTTACTTCCTTTACACAGCATGAAAACATGCGCGCTATATGTCATGATTAATGCCTCGTTCTCTGATGCCATGAGTTCCACTATAATACCGTCCAAGAACCCTTCCTTACTTTGACTGTTTGACTGCAAGATATCTGGAGTTTCGTCAATTCATTTGTCTCTGAGCTGTTTATCGTCATTATGTTGCTATGATCATCTTTGTACAGTTTTCTAGGGAAATTTTTTTGCCCTCTTTAGAATCACTTGTCTATTCATGATGACAGTCCCGCCTTTTGCTTTGAGAGAGCAAATGGTTCCCAGCGGTCATTTTTCAAATAATTTTTTCATGCCTTGATTGTTTTCAGCAGTTTCTTTACCAATCTGCAGTTGAATGCTCGGATGTCTTTTATTCGTTTCCTTAAAGATTTGCGAAGTTCCACGTAGTCGACTTCTGACTTCTGTCGACCGTCGCGATTTTGTCTTAGATTATTTGGCCAGTCGAGTTGGTGAGCGTTGCCTCTTCCACTTGGCTGGATATATTTCTCAGACTTTCTCAACATGACTGCACCAGCCAGAACCTAAAGCCTCAGCTGTACACCGTCTTGAGAACCCATTTTCACCTTCCTATTAAGTAAAGTTTGTCAAAAAACGACTTTGTAGGGGCGAAAAATATTTATAATTAGCTACTGTTCAGTCTGAATTTCTCTGATCAAAGGATAAGAAAGCAGTATTTCATTCGCAAGCGTCTAATGAGACCCCAAGAACGATTTTTGTGTAGGTCACACATTTAAATTAAGCATCTTCTCGACGATCCATTTGAAAGGCCGCAACATTTACTAAGGAATTGACCTCCCACGAGTAGACAACCATTGGCAATGGCAATGCTGCGGACCGACATCGCTGTTAGATTGATGGTCACTGGCCGAATTACAGTTTTTACCCTTGTTACTACTCGACCTAGACACGAAACTCAACGATCAACAGGATAATTAATAGTTCATTAAAGGTGATGGCAGCCGTTCATGAACCATTGCGGAGAGTGAGCCCTTTGTGGAAAGCTCTAGAAATCATAGCTTGCGAGTCTAAATAAACTGTCAAGTTAAACTGCTAAAGTTTAGTGCCTACGTCAAAAGATGGTAGCGACAAAGTAGTAACAACAAATACGCATTTGAGAAAATGGACAATGACCAATCAATGACAGCAGGAAAGAATAATGATGTGCCAAGTCTATGGAGGTAGTAGCACCATTCGAGAGCAAATACATCGGAAACAAATCACCAGCGATAGCTACGGCTAAGCAAATGTAAAAACTGATTTCGATTTTGTGAAGAGGATCCTTGCTACTTGTGAAAGTATAATAAAATTTATTGCAATTTCATTTTCAGTATGTGCCAGATCGCATAAAATCCTGTTGTTAACATTCTACGATTTAAAAACACTAGTGGCTGAAGTAGCTATGAATCATCCTATATGTGAAGTTGATTGGATCGACAGTCACTCATTGTAAATTAAGAATTAACAATGCTCTTCTTCATCAGGAGCCTGGTTAGCAATCGGCACTGTAAAATATTGTACAACGTGTATTAAGCACATGAAGTCATGACAAATTAAAGACTAATAAAATCGAAGTTAAACTGGTGGTAACAGGCCGTTTGTCGTAACGAGTTACTGATTTACTACTCAGCCAAACATATTATTT